TTCCATCTTCTCTGCACACTTTCCTCACTTGTTAGCACCTTTCCATCTCTGTCTTTAATTGCCCTTATCTGTTGCACCCTTCCCATCTCTATCTCTCTGTCTCGCTAATCTGTACAAGTCCTTCTCATCTTCCCTCATGTCTAACCTGGCATACAACTCATCATGTGTTATGTTTGGCCATAGCCACCTCCCTCTTCACTCTACACTGCAATTTCTTGTGATCCTGTCTACTGTCTTCAGTCCTTTCTATGTCCCACTTCTTTTTAGCTAGCCTCTTCCTCTGAATGCTGTCCTGTACTTCCTCGTTCCACCACCATGTTTCCTTATCTTCTTTCCTCCTTCCAGATGACACACCTAGCACCTTCCTACCTGTCTCCCTGATCACTTCTGCTGTAGTTTCCCAGTCATCTGGAAGTTCTTCCTGACCACCCAAAGCCTGTCTCAACTTCTGTCTGAATTCCTCACGACATTCTTTCTTTTGCAACTTCCACTTGGTCTTCTTTTCTGTCTTTCCTCTCCTCTTCTTCCTGACCACCAGAGTCATCCTACACATCACCATCCAATGCTGTCTGGCTACTCTCTCCTACCACCACTTTGCAGTCACTAATCTCTCTCCGATTCCCTCGTCTACATAGAATGTAGTCTACCTGCGTACTCCTACCTCCACTCTTATATGTAACTCTATGTTCCTCCCTCTTCTAGAAATAGGTGTTAACTACAGCCATTTCCATCCTCTTAGCAAAGTCCACCACCATCTGTCCTTCTAGGTTCCTTCCCTTAACACCAAACCTGCCCATCGCCTCCTCATCACCTTTGTTCCCCTCACTAACGTGGCCGTTGAAGTCTGCACCAATCACTACTCTCTCCCTCTCGGAATACTCTCCATCACCTCATCTAATTCACTCCAGAATCTCTCCTTCTCTTCTAACTCACACCCTACTTGTGGAGCATAACCACTGACTACATTCAACATTCAATTTCCAACTTCAAACTGATCACCCTGTCTGACACTCTTTTCACCTCTAAAACATTCCTCACGAGCTCCTCCTTCAGAATCACTCCTACCCCATTTCTCTTCCCACACCATAATAAAACAGTTTGTATCCCCCTCCAATGCTACGCGCTTTGCTACCCTTCCACCTGGTCTCCTGCACACACAGTATATCTACCTTCCTTCTCTCCATCATGTCCACCATCTCTCTACCTTTTCCTGTCATTGTGCCAATGTTAGGAGTCCCTATTCTCAGACATATACTCCTGCCTTTCCTCTTCTCTCTCTGTCTACGAACCCTTCTACCTCCTCTCCTTCTTCGACCAACAGTAGTCCAATTTCCGCCACCACCTTGTAGGTCAACAGCACTGGTGGCGGTCGTTGTTAAACCGGGCCTCGACCAATCTGGTATGGAATTCACACTGATGATTCGCATGTTTAAATTTGGCATGTTTTTATGCCGGATGCCCTTCCTGACGCACCCTCTCTATTTATCCGGGCTCGGGACCGGCGAAGAATTCGCTGGCTTGCAACCCCTGTGGCTAGATTAGTAATGCTAAATTGTAATAGGTATAATGTTATATTTTGACTCTAAATTAAACTATAAACCATAAAAATCTTCAGGTCATTTGATAATGAAAATAAATGTTAAACCTTATGTTGCACACTAACTCTAGGTGTGATTAGCTGATGTTAACAAGCTAACGTTAGCTAACGAGCTACCAAAACACTGTAGCAATGAGCTATGGTAACATCATTTGCCCTTCCTTTGGC